TGAACAACATCATTATTTTACTGAAGGGGATGAAGTAGGTGCTTTAGATAAATGGCAGTAACTTAAAATGTGTTTCAGAAGATAAATTCACTTTCTCTCCATTTACCTGCTAGCGTGACAAATTAAGAAAGAAGAGCATAAAAACAGAGCAGGAGGGAAAGCAGTGCAAAAGCTAACTGAGGTGATGCAATGGGCCCTTACCCAAACAAGTGTGTGAACAGAGATTGTTGGAAGTCCTCCTAGCCAAACACAAACCCAGAACACTGCACATGCCAGACTCCTCTGGAAATCCATGGTGGAGCATGGAGAAGATCCACCTATGCTAAAACCACATTCCTTACCAAGCACTGGGAGCTTGGCCATTTGGAACTGACACAATGTCTGCTCATTTCAAAGCACTCTAAGTCCACCAGGTGCTGAAGGGCTGAGCTCTGCTGGGCAGAGCAGCTCTTCACCCACAAGAAATACCAGCAAATCAACTCCTGCTGAAAGGAGACAAGGAGAGAGTGGCTTTTTCACAAAGAAGTTCATCCTGTATGTCCATGTGTTTCTTGTTCTAGTCACCTCGTCAATAGCAAAGAAAAGCTTTAATGAATACTTTTAAAAGGAAGGGCACTATACAGTATATGTATATTTCTGTACTATACTTTGTACACTACTCTGCAGTATACAAAGCCTTTTACATCTCAACACCAAAACTGTCCAACTATTTTTGTGCGGTCAAGAACAAACGTGTTTACTGACTGCCTCTTTGTCCCTGTTAAACACCGTTGCTCTTGTTAAATGCTGATTTTTGCTCAGTTTGGGTAAACAACTGCCGATGGTACCTTTGAAAATGGGCATTTTTATGCAGTGTTCCCAGTGTTCCATAATGGCTTGAGATCTACAGAAGTCTTGAGTCATCCACCTGCGCTGAGGCCCCAAACACACACTGCAAACAGGAGTTCGGGGATCATCCTCTCCCCAGCATCAACCACAGCGGGCAGGACCCACCAGGCCGGCTCTCTCTGGGCAGGCTTGGACTAGCCGAACACCTGGAAAAGTCACCTGGACGCTGGGAAATGGGAAAACAAACCCTGCGGCACCTGTTCTTGGTGAGCCCGTGCGCAGAGCTCGGGCTGTCCGCCTGCCCCAGGCGCTGCCGGGAGCGCGGCCATGAGGGGCCCGGCCCCGCCGGGGCACGGCCGCAGGGAGCGGGCAGAGCTTCCCTGGAAAGCCCCGAGTGTTTTGCAGCGTCTCGGCCGCCCGTGGCCACCCCGAGCCGCCTCCTCCCTCTTACCCGCGGCGGCTCTTCCTCCTCCCTCGGCCGCCATCACTTCCTGCGGGGCGGCGCGGGCAGCCCTGAGGGCGGGCCGGGCCCGGGATGGGGCTGAGGGGGCAGAGGAGGGCGGGGAGCAGCGGGGCCGTGCCCGGAGAGGCGAGGGGAGACTGGCGAGGCCGGCTGGGGGTCGGGGAATGCCCACAGGCTCGGGGAATGCCCTCAGCCCCCGCCATCGAGGCACGGCTTTGGGAGAGGGCCGGCCCCCGCTGCATCTGAACTCATGAAACTCCGACAAAAATGCCAAATTATTTCTTTGAAAGGCTCAGAATGGCAAACCATAAACCTAGCGCCAGTTTGTGTTAACGCGGGTGGCGTGAGGCAGAAGCCTTACGAGGGGAAAAATAAGTACAAAAGCAACATTTTTATAGCATTCTGAAGTGACCACTGTTAATCTGGAAGAGGCTTTTGGCAAACATAGGCAGCTGCCTGCCGTTCATTACCACAAACTGTAAAACTGAGGTACAGGGGCTAAAACCAATACACAGTTGTCAAAATTAAAAGTAAAATTCAGGATGTGACTCAAGGCAGCCTTAATATAATTATATTTTAAATATAATTGAGGACCCTAGTAGGGTCACTCAATTATATTTAAAATAGCAGATACAAGTATCAAAGTCATAGGGGACTCAGATACATGGAAATAACAGTACGTTTGCAAAGAAATAAACTCACCTTTGCGCTTCCAGCATCCAGGCATGCTGCTGTGACCTGGAGACCTTACTTAACAGGGACTCCATTGCCTGTCAGCAGCCAAAAGCCCCTCAGCATTGCTTCTCCTTTCAAATGCTTTAAAACACACAGTAGAGTAAATTTATGATTTTTCAGGGGGTTGCATGTGCCCTGCTAAGTCTTTTCTCCCTACTATAAACAAAAAATTAAATTTAAAAACCTGTCCATACACAGCCATTAGCTTTGCTAATACTGCAAGAAGACCAGAACTGATATAATAACAGCCACTCAGCAGCTTGGCTATATTCAGTTGCAATTTTCCCCATAAAAATAGGTATATTCCAATGGATTCAATTGCTGAAGAACTGAAATAAATAATCAAGCAACATAAAATACATGACAATTCCAATCCAACACCAGACCCTGCACAACTTGCCCAGAGAATCTGTGGCTGCCCCATTCTTGGAAGTGTTCAGGGACAGGTTGGATGGAGTTTGGAGCAACCTAGGACAGTGGAAGGTGTCTCTGCCAAAAAAAACCCCGAGTGAAACTGCCATTATATTTTTCAATTTACCATTTCTATGGATTTTGTTGTAGAAGAGGCCTCTTTCCACAGGGAACAGTGAGCTTTACACTGAAATGTTTGTGTCCTCTCTTTTTGTGACATCGCTTTCTATCCACATAAAGACCAGCTTCAGTCTTTCCTGAGGACCATTTATTTTTATTAGAATGGAAAAGAAATATGGAGTTTTAGATCCTGAAATTTCTATTTAAAGTCCCATTATAGTTTAGTGTTAAATAGCATAACAGCTTGATTTCTCCCTCCTCTCATTAAGTGCTGAACAGCTGAAATAAAAATTGGAATATATTGAACACTTCCACTTCACAGTTTAAAACACCGGTCAGTGCTTGCCAATAACAAGAAATAAAATAAATATATATAAGTAATAATAAAAGAGATAAAAATTAAGGAGCTGTTTCTAAATGAAGGGCCATATTCTGTTCTTCTTGCCATCTACTAAAAAGCTACTCAAGCAGTGTGCTGCCAGCTCTGCAGTGTGGTCAGAATGCATTTGCAGAAAATATATTTTTCTCTTACTCAGCAGCAGTTCAAACAGTTTTTGAAAGTATCAGACAAATGTGCAGAAAAATATTCAAGGTGATAACCAGGGTTTTCATAGTTGAGTTGCTTCCATTTCTTCTCTACCTCAGGATGAGGTGCTGTGCCAGTCACATCTGTGTACAGCAAGAAGAAAAACACCCAGTGTTTAGCTGAGTCAGCTGTGTCTCTGACTTGCCTTCAAATAGCAAGGGCTTGGTTCTTAATTATGGATAGGGAGATTAATTTGCACAGACCTCAAATATCCAGTGACCCTCAAATCCATTGTTTTGGGCACAGATACCCATGGGAGTGCTAATATTAAAGCTACAATCATACTTTAACAAAAACTCCAAGAGTAGCTTCAACTTCAACAGAAGAAATGTTAGAGGAAAGAAAAGGTTTTATTTCATTTCTGAATAATTTCTGAGTAAGGCCTAATTCAAATCTTTCAATTCTTTTTTAACTGTGTGGCACAACTGCAATAAATGCATTATTCCTCCAACTATACTACCTTGCACACAAAGCTTGGGAACATGAGCAACCAATTAAATCAGTGCAAAAATTAATTTCAGTGGTCTCTGTCAAATTCTGGTTTGCTTAAACCACTAGCATTCCTCCCAGACTTGCACAAGCATTTACCAATACAATCAGAATCAGGTCTCAGAATCTTTACTTCCAATTCAACAAACATCTGCTTAAGAAAAGGGACTAACTTAACTATTCAAGGCAGTACTTCTCCCCCGCTACAAATTTCTATTAGCTTCTTCATAAAGGCTTAGTGAATTAATCTTTGCTACTCTCTATTTCTTTTCTACTCCCTTTTGCCAGCTGTAAAAACTTTAAAATCTAGTAATGCATTCCAACAAGATCATATCAGTTGTTACAGAGTGCATGGAACTAATAGACTTACATCTCCCCTCTGGAAGAATATCTCATGGAATACCTAATATTTTACAGCATTCAAGTAATACCCTTCATATATATATGTATAAAGCAGCTCTCATGTCCCAAAGAAAATAGAAAGTCTTACTTGGAAATTAATTAAGACTTTAAATCTTACCTTATTCCTTACAAATTCTTTGTTCATTAGACCACCCTCTACTTAAATTTTTTTCTAAAAAAAAAGCAACAAACAAACAAAACAAAACAGCACAAATCAAAAATAACTATGAGAAGACTGGTCAGAATCACAGGAAGTGTTTTAATGACTTGTCAAGCATAAAAATTAATGGATAAAAATCTTGATTGACATAGGAGTATGAAGGACTGTAGGATTTTAAAAGTGATTCAGTGCTGCCAGTGGCAGATTCTGCTTTATTTAAAGCTGCAGAAAGCTCTGTTTCCTGTATTGGAAGCTCCTTCAGCCCCAGCAGCCAGCAAAAGTTAATTCTGCAAGTTGTTTTAGGGGAAGAAATGGATGGTGGAATCAGACTCTTTTAAATAAAGAGAATCCACACATCTTTTAGGGGAAGAAATGGATGGTGGAATCAGACTCTTTTAAATAAAGAGAATCCACACATCTTTTTGTGTCTCAGCACAGGACGATTTAAATGACAGACACAGGTCATGTCTCCAAACCTCATTCAGCCACCACCCAACCCAAGGGATTTCTTCAGAGATTTTTCTTTTTTTTTTCCCTAAGGTCTCACAATTACCAGCTCTCTTGAGATAATATAGTGGCTTTCTATTCTTAGCTTATTTCTCCCCTCCCTCTCTCTCTCACACACACACACTTCCTACTCAAAACAAGACCCAGTGAAACCCTCTGCCCACATAGTTATAATTCCCAAGAGAACTTGCATATGCTTTTGTTTTGGGCAGTGACAATGTGCATATGTTTTGATTTCAGGCCCCCCCCATTGGCTCTCAGGCTCCACTTTAATGAAGACAGACCAGCTATTAAACTCACCAGTTTCAGCAAGCTATAACCCAGCTTCTAGAGTTCCTCTGACCTTGCGAGTTGGAGTGAGATTTTTCTAACATGTTGCCTGTTAAAGGGTATTACCGAGTAAATGTTTTGGGTTAGCAAATACACACATTTTCCTGTTGGTGTTTGGTTTGAAAAGTGTACAGTGCTTGGACTCTTTCATAACAAGCCTGGGATAAAGATCAAGAGTAGTAAATCAGATAAGTGCTGTGAAGAGGAACAGCAAAGTTACCCCTGAGCTTAAGTTAGTAAGAACAAGTCCAAGAACAGTGGAAATGGACAGTTTTTGTAGTTGCCATTCCTCATCATTAAAGTGAGTTACAACTGCTAAAAACAGAATACCCACAGAGATATAATCAAACTGATTCAATTAATTTTCTGTTTACTTGCACATAAACAAGTGATGAAAAATATTGCTGGATATTTTGCAGGAAATTTCTTAAGCTTTTCCTCTTCTTCCTAAATACTCCATGCCTGGGAGAGGAAAGAGTTTGGGGCAGTCCCAGTCAGCCAGTCAGTCAGACTTCTATCTTTAATAGAGACGTAATCATTTTTGCTTTAAAAGTTACATGAGTCACAAATCATCCCTGTCACGTGAAGCCAGACTCATCACAGTTGGAAGAAAAAAGGTGCCCCAAATGAAGTTTGCCACAGATACCTGAATTATAGTACTGTTTGGAACTGAAAGACAAGAAGATTCCACCTTCTGGAGCATAGATATCATGGATTCAAATTCCAGCACTGTGGTGGTGACTGGTAAGATTTGTATTTCATTCTTTGAGCCAGAGATGGTATGCACGCATGCTTGATCTTTGTCATAAACAGTTTCCTGGAGGGAAAAAGAGTAGCAAATGGTCATACTAACATTTCCAAATGGAAAATAACTTGCTGTGCCTTCCTAAGAAAAATCAGATGCATGTCAGAGGAAACAGACTGCAGTCTGCCCTCTTTACTGCCATCCAGTTTGGTTTGTTGTTCATTCTCTCCATGTTTTAATCTTTGTTGACATTCTCTCTGATCCAAACCACATAGCTCAAGGCAGTGCAGGCTACTATTAGATAAAGCTTACCCAAAAGAAGCTCTGAAGCAAGAAAACCAGGTTGCATCACAATGTCATACAGTCAGTGTCCAGAATTAGAGCAGCACATGGCCACTTTCAGGGGCTCAGTTTCATGGCAAGGTAAGGGAGTTTTAAACAGGAGATGCTGCCTCATCACTGCTAAACTAAACCATCCCATTTAAATATACCAAAGGAACATGTCTGAACATGCAGCACAAGGGACCAAATTTGGAGTTTCTCTTGCTGGCTCCAGCTAGTGCAGCATCACAGAGGCAGAACCAGCAGCTCAGAGAGGGCTGAGCTTTAAAAGGTTAAAGCTCCTAAGGAATGCTGTTCCTCTTGTTGCCACTGGCTCATCTAAGGGCAATCATTACACATATCTTGACATGTGAGTTGCTGGATAATTTTCCACTGCAGGTCATCTGAGGATATAGGAACGAGGGTGAAGCTACATCAAAGAGATTTGCATCTTGCTGTTTTCAATTAAACACTTTTTTTTTTTTTTTAATAGCTGCAAGATGGGCAGAACTAGTCTGGCTTGCTCCAGCTGTAGCTGCAGATGAGCTGGATGGGAGTGCAGGAGAGGGCAAGAGGTATTTGCTAACCTCCTAAAAGGCTGACAGTCTGGTTCTCTCCTATGATATTTATGGCACATACCCTTGTTGGGAACACTTCTTAGCACCCTGTTAGTTTTTTCCTCCCTTTTGATCACCATTTATGTCCAGAAATCTCCTTGGTCAAAAAGCTTTAAACTAGTTAAGACACACGTGCATCTTCAATCTACTACAGAGATTATCACAGCATGTCTCTGTCACATTTTCACCTGCTCAGAATATAAACCTGCTGGCAGGGAGCCCAGTTTATTACATGGAGCCCAGTAGCATTCAGCCAGTTACCTCCACATTGCTGTAGGTATTGCAGTAAAACTCTCATACATTTCCTTATTTTTCATAGCAATTTTATCCTAAGCAGTAGTTTCTTAGGGCCACCACTGACACAAGTGTTTCATTGTGATCTACTTAATAACTTTACTATAATTCTGCAGTTCTGCACACACGGGTACAGAAACTTGTACAACTACACCTCCAAAATGGAGCAGGTGCCATCCAAATTTTCCTCTCAAAGCAGAGTGGGAAAATGGAGTTTTGTGTTTCCTGGAAATGTGAAATGAGCACCATTTTCTTTGTTCCCTCACCATAGGAGAAACTCAAACCTGGAGAAAATATTGTCCAAAATATAAGCTTTTCATAACATTAAAGAGAAAAGATGGAGCAGTTATGAAATAAATATTAACAAATTAAGAAATGCTTAAAGTCTAGCACTAATTAAGCTGTCACAAGCCTGCATTTAGGCTTAATTGTCTCCACATACAAGTAGCTTTCACTGTGCAAAATGGCAATCATCTGCTGTCAAGTATTTACTTGTCCATTTAAGGATTTTAAATATTTAAGAGTTATAGCATTAAAACCATTTCACAAACTCATTTTCCTGACACCCAATATCTAGGACTTAGCAACACTCTGGATTGAGAACATTAATTGAGGTTAATAAAGATAGTGGGAGTTTTCCTTCAAACTTTTTAATGACAAAATGTCCATCTGCTCAAAATTAGATCTTTTCCCTTTTTATTAAAAAAAATAATTCTTTCACAAAAAAGATGCATAAAATTGAATGTAATACTTTGGAGTCAAAGTGTTCTTTCCTCTTTTCTCCTCTCTTTTCCTGGGGGAAAAAGTGAAGACATTTTTCCCAGCATCACAAAAACCCATATTTTCCCAGATAGAAAACTGTAAGTTTTCATTACTTGCTATTAAAATAAATCACAGATTAAATAAATTTTACTCTTTGAAGCATTTTCATTAAATATATTTTCGTATCTTCATCTTCATGAGCTTTAACAATAAGAATGATACATTAACTGTGCCTGGGAGTATTTAATACCATAACTTTTAGTAGTGTTATTTCTATGGATGATGACCCTTCCCCAAAAATCATCATTTACATGATCTGTCCTATTGGAGATACATTTTAACCAGCTCCAGTTAAGGCTCTCTCTCAAGAAAGCCTTGACATGAATGGATATTGCAGGATTAGTTCTTTTATTGGTGAATACACAAATTGAAAATACTATTCCCTTAAGAGTTATAAAAGCTAAATCCTATCTAAAAAGCTCAGCCTCCATAACCAAAAATAGGAAGATAAAGATCAAATATGTGTGTGCACACATCAGCACCTAATCTGCAGTTGTAGAGTAAGCACAGGTTAAAACCACCTTTCTTTCTTTTCAGGTTTTGGTCCCTTCAGACAATACCTGGTTAATTCCAGCTGGGAAGCAGTGAAGGTAGGCATAAAAAAAAAAAACAAAAGGAGGGAGGCATTTTATTTTTTAGACATCCCAACACAAACTGGTTTTAAGCTTTCCATTCCCTTTTCATGACTCATTAAACAGCGTTGTGCCTCATGGAGCAGACACCCAACATGGAACAAAGAGGATAATGCAGTAAAATATTATTTTACTTGCATTATTTTTGGTGCCATTTAAGCACTTTAAAATATTATTCTTTATTTAAAAAATTTATTTTTATTCATTGTGCCTTCTCTACAACTATTGCATGTGCCACAGGTTATGTCTGTCTGCAGTGAACCATCACCTCTCCCACCACAGTTAATTTTATCCTGTCTGTGTGAAGTGATTTCCTTCTCACACAGGTGAGTTCTCACTGCCTGCTTCAGGAACACAGAACCTAAACTGTGCCAGCTGGTGATTTCCTTCTCACACAGGTGTAGCCTATTGAGTTCTCACTGCCTGCTTCAGGAACACAGAACCTAAACTGTGCCAGCTCTAAGTGTCAGTTCACTTTTCAGCTTTGGCTTCCACTTTCAAATGACAGTGAATTCTACAGCTGAATTGAAAATAAGGTCATTCAGAAGGGTTTTTTTCCCCTCCATACACCTTGACTGGCAATAGCAACTCTCAGATGCAGTCTTGAAAATTCCTGCTTGTTTCCAAAATCTGTGTAGTAGAACAAATTTAGCTGGGGGATACAAAGACATGGTTTGGATGCTTTCAGCATCACCTGATTCATTCTCCCTGTCACGGACAGCAGCCTTTTCTGGAGTTCAGTTACTCTCATAAGGTACCTATGAACAGAGTTATTGTGAGAGGATCTTCCACATAAGTTTTTAGCAATCCCAAGGTAGAAAGGAGGTTACACAATGAAATCTGAAACTAGTGGGGGAACAGTCAAAGTAGTAAAATTAAATTGGAGCATTGGTCCAAAATGTACAAGAAATGACAGATAATATTGGTAAAATGGAAAGTAAGACATGTAAAACAAACCAAGGGGACTGTGTTCTATTATGAAGACTGAAACAAATCCATACCATTTTTAATGCTTTTGGATGATGAAATGAGAAAGTTAGCTATAGGAAAGTATTAGTAGTGGCAGAAAGGTGATGGCTCTACAGGACTATAACCACAGTACAAATTTTGGTGACAGCTACTGAATAGCTGTTTTGAAAATGAAGTGCACTCAAGCCAAGATGATTGAAAAACAAAAAGCCAGTATGTTTTTGCAAAGACCAAAGCTATAGTAATTCCACCTAAACATACATCTTTTCTATTCTAGCTTTGTTGGGTGAAGAATGCTGAGTGCAGCTTGGTGTTTGGTAGAACAAATCTATTGCCCCTTCCAAGTAATGAGGGATGTTATCCCTGTAGGCTAACAAGAAACAAAAATACTTCTGTGATACCTTTCCACACCCCAGTCATGACAGGAGACCCGTAAATTATCCTAACTCCAACTTGACATGTGCCCTAAACCACAAATATTTGTCAGTTGACAGTGTTCTTGCTCATTATTTCCTGATTCCTATTGGTTCTAATTTTGGGTGCAAGACCATCCTCTTCTGGCTGAAAATAGAGCATGTTCTTTATCTGCAAGCAAAATAGCCTCGAGCGAGAACGCACCGATGGGATGAGTTTTCTGTAACAATGCCACGAGCTGGCCATGCCAGGGAGTTGCATAACAAGGGCCACAGCATTCCCTAGCAAAACAGATGTCAGTCCTTGTGCATGGAGGAGAACAAATCCATTTCACTCTGATGTGGCACCCTCTATGTGGAATTAATTTGTATTCAGAGTGGGGATGCTGCTTTGGTTTCCTACTCCCTGGCAAAGGTGGTTAATTCAGCCAATTCAGAGAAATTTGCTGCAAATCTGGAAGCACTTTGAATTTCGATGGGCTTCTCCACACTAAATAGCAATCTCGTAGTATTGTTCCATTGGCCTCATTCATGGGAGTAGCCCTATGATCTTCAGGAAGCTTATGCACATATATTAAATATAGCAAAATTTAGTAGTTACATCTGGAAGTAATCCTGTCTTGGCTTGGGGTACCTGCATAGATCAATGGAGTGACATAAACCCTCCTGCCAAGTCTCTTTGCTGTGAACCACGCAAGTGTGCACTCAGATTCATCCTCAGTAAGGTGATGAGCAGCCAGAACAAACCTACTAAATATGACTGGTCAGGCTTAATGCCTTTGTAGCATTACCCAGAACTATCCTCATTATTACCCCAAAATGCAGTAGGTGCTTATCAAAAGCCTGGATAGCACCCTCAGTGATGATGTAATGCTGATACACACAGTCTTAGAAGTTCACAACCCAGAAGGATCTTCATACCAAAAGCATCTGAAATCCTGTAAAAATACATTTAACAGTTCCAGTGTCCTAATTCCAAAGCATAGCCTCACTCTCCATGCTCTTGAAATGGATCCTTGGCCAAAGAACCATGGCTGCCCTTCTATGAGCAATACTTGCTCTTACTCACAACTGCTTCCTTAAGCTCCATCACAAGGAGCTGCTGATGGGATCAGCTGTGCTCCTGAACATGTCTTCTTGCTCTAGGGAGGATCAAAGATTGATCCAATGAGCACAGCCCATTCCAATAACTACATCCCTTCTATGTCCTCATTGGGCATGCAGAAAAATATTACTTCTCTTACAAATTAACTATGTACTACTACTGCCTTTTTGGTGAACAAGCCAATTTCCCTTGAAGTCCTCAGAAATCCAAAGATAAATGTGAGTAAAACTCTACAAATCTCTATATTTACTGGTTTAAAAAGGGTATTTGTCCTGAATTTCCTCTTTAAGAATATGAAGATGTAATTTTCCAAGAAGGTGAGGAACTCACAACTCCATTGTTTTTGCGTGGACCTAAGTTCTCATGACAGAGACTCACACATGGCATTCATCAGCATTGCATTCTTCATCCATGGAGTTTTTGTTCCTCAGCAGGTACCCTTCGAGTGTTCAGGGAAAAGGGGATCAAATGGACCCAAAAGCACAGACAAACCTGTCAATTCAAGGTCATGGAGAAAAGCTTCAGAGCTCTTACAGACACCATCACCTGGCCCAGCATGTCTAGCACTAGAAAGACAGCTTATCTTTTAGAAACCTGTCTCACTAAGCTTTTCATGGTTCTCATAACTTCATTCACCTGAAATACCCTCCTAAAATATGCACGAAAGCTCTGCCAGCAACACTTTTAACTCTGGAAGTGCAGGACATTCTCACTAAAGGAAAACACCACCAGGTGTTTACTCTGCATTTGTTGACAAATCAAAGAGTTACCACAATGTGTTAGTGCTGCAGCACCACATGGGACCTTCAGAATCCCAGATCTCCTGATTTATTTATTCCATGCTACAGATTAACGGTCCCACCCAATAACCCGTGATTCAACCCTGTTGCTGTGTCTCCTCCAGAAAGTTCTGTCTGCAGGTTGGCAGTAAAATGACCTATCAGGGCACTCCACCATCAAGGTCAGAGTCCCCAGTTAACAGGGCACAAATATAAGTTGACTGACAACATTCATAGTAATTAAACTGTTAGTGCAAAGAACAGGTCACATTTCCAACTGCTTCTGGGAACTATGTCTGCTATCAGGAGATGAGGATCAGGTCTCCCAGCACAGTTTTTCATCCTGCCACTGACCATGTGGTCTTTGGAAATCTGTCATTTAATCTGTCTCTCCCCCTCTATGCTTTAGTTTCATTATCTGTGAAAGTAAGACATTGCTATTTAGTGTCTTCGTTTCTGTGTTGGAACTTTCTTACATCCCTGAAGTTTTAAGAAGGTATCTACAGGTTTAGAAAAAAACCCAACAACTTAAAACAACTAAAATTCCAAACCCAACACATAAACAAAACCCCCACTAATCAGCCACACAAAACACCTTTGTTTGCAACGTCCTTGCAGTCTGGCTGGGGCAACTGAAACCTTCTGGTTTCCTTTCTGCACCAGCACGAGCAGTTCACAAAATTAACACATGCAACCACCTTTGCAGCAACCCAAATCAGTGAGAACTCAGGCAAAATCAGTGATGTTTTCCAGAGTTTTCTAGAAGTTCAAGCTATTTCCAACACACAGAGTTTCCAGCACAAACCTGAGCACAGTGCTGTGCAAATCGCTTCTCTTTGGACCAGAACACCAGTGGACCACAACTCACAACAGCTCAAGGTCAGCAGCTGATAATGCTGGATTTATTCTCCCTCCTAGAAGAACTTCCCAAGAAAGAATCTTCATGTTTTCTTTCGAACCACTCTTCCCACAAAACAATCCTCCAAAACTCTTCCCCTCCTTTAAAATTTCCTTTCCTCTTTCAACTACAAAATACAGGCACTTGTTTACTGAATTCACTCACCAGAGTGAGCTCTGGTTTCCAGGTGCAGTTACCCTCCTCTAACCATCCATCTTCAGTCTCCCACTTTAAATGCAGAATTGGTTCTGGTTAAGGCTGAGACAAGGAGCAGCCTTTTTTTACTTTGCTCCGTGTTTACACATCTGGTGTCACAGGGTGTAAACCCATGGCTGGGATTGTTAGACAACACAGTAATACACATTATTGACAACATGCTGAAATTGCTTAGGACATAGAGAACCATCTTCCTTTGACACAAATTCTCTGCCATTTGCTATTGGCCAGCTTCAGTTTGGTCCTGCACAAAAGTATTTCTGTGTGTTTCTGCCATGACAACTGGTGACAACAGAATGTCTCGACCCAGAGAGCACGAGAGAACAGCACTACAGCTGGCTTTGGGTCTCCATGTTCTGCACCAAAGTTAGGGGTAATCGAGTCCTCTAAGCCTTATAGTTTGAAAGAAAGACTCTCATTAGATGTAAAAATTAAAAATGCTTTGGAAAAGAAAATGCTAATTGTGAACCAGCTGGGGTTTTCTTGTGTGGAGGCTGAGGCACAGTACAGCATTCTTCAGCGAGATGATGCAATGGGCTCTCAAAGACTGTCAGCGCCCACAGGAAAAAAGGCTGGCACTGTTCTCCAAATGTGTTTACTTCCCTGCAGGCATTGTTTCCTTGCTTGTGTCAAATAGTTTATTGAGCACAGCTAATCAATGCTTCCGCTGACAAGAAAATTGGAACAGTTTATATAGGAAGCAAGTGTGGAAGGGCAAATTTCCCAGAACTGTGGGCCTCATTCGCATGGGCATCCTGAGTGAGAAAAAAAACCCTGAGAAGATGATGACAGTGATTACAGTTACAGGTCTCCTGGACTAATCAGACACCTCCACTTTTGCCTGTGCCCACTTAAAAACCTAACCTGTACCTTTGGTAGTGGTTTACTCAAATGGAACAGGGGTTTTCAATCACCATTCTATTTTCTAGGACAAAGCTTCCCACCTCAGATGAATTCCTTCTGCATCCTGCCACTGCAGCTGTTTACCTTCTGCTGAGGCCTAGGCCTGGTTTGTTAGTCCTGTTCCACTGACAAAATCATTTCAAGTCACTTCCATGTGACATTTCTTCTCCAGACCATGTTCCAACCACCTGGCCAACCTGCTGCTTTGAAGGGTACCCTTGTTCCATTTACCTCAGTTCTGGGCATGATTTTTTGTTCAGGACAATTGGTCCTCTGTGGAAATTCAACTGTACATAATTGACAGAGAAGTAACATCTCAGTGACATTTCCTTTTACTAGAGAAACGTTCTAGACCAAAAAATAAATTAAACTCATTCTAAATGTGACTTCCTCGTGTTGACAGTGACCTTCAGCACAGCTTACCAGAACCTGGTCAAGCCAGCAGATCTCGTCTTGGTTTTGTCTCTTGGCAGTGCAGTTTTTCTACCAGATCTTTCAGAGAAACAGCTCTTACCTACAGCAAAGCCTGTTTAGATGCTTTCATGGGTGGAGCTTTTCTGAGAGACACCGCTTCATGGTTCTCCAGGGACCAATCCCAAAGCAATAACCCCTCCCACCCACTGGAGACTGAGCATCTCCTTGGAAAACACAACAATGGCTCCACACGGACAGACGTGACATTAGGAAACTGTTTAGCACATTTTAGTCTCTTCCAGTTAAAAGAGAGGGAGCGACCACAAAACAAATCTCATTGCAAACCAATGTTCAGGAACCATGGGCAAAGGGTGTAGCTCTTTCAGGTGTTTCCTCAGTTGAATCAGCCCAGTTTCTTTATCACAGTCAGAAATCCAATGCTCCTTCAAGTCCTCAGTGGCTTTTTTTGTAAACACAGGAGCTGTCCAAGAGAGGCCTTGGTGAAAACATTGATCTCCAGATCATGCAGCTGCCAGTGGTTTACCAAAAAGCAAAGGAGCAAGTCTGCAAGATATGGACAACTCTTCAGCCACTGGTGGGTAATGATGAAGTTAAACAATCTCCTCCCCTCCCCTGAATACAATGAAAAAAATCTCCAAGAGAGTATTGCAAAACATCAAACTCTGGGAAGTGACTATTGAAACTGTGATCAAGGTTCCAAGCTGAAATTCAGTGCACACACTAATTAGCATGCTGGTTTAACCCCGTGCCAGTTAAACAGCATAACTCATGCTGAACAAAGGGAAGGAAAATATCTACCATGAACTGCAAAAAAGGTACTGCTGCTCTGCAGTCCTGACTAGACACAACAAAAACTGCAGCCTAATTTGGTTCTCATTTATAACCTTATCAAAGTTTTCTTCAGACATGAGCAAGACTCCCCACCTTGAAGCCAGTAATTCACATAATGCTTGGACCTTTTGCATCACATGTTTTCAAAAAGCAGGTGTCATTTTTAATTTGCTATTATTCCCCTGGTGGGAAAAACCAGCTTACAGTTCACGTTGGGCTGGCTTCGTCCACCACAGCGCTCATCATCCTGGAGCAGTGTGGGAAGAACAAAGGCTACCAGGAGAGGGATGCTTGTGGTTTTCACCCAGAAGATGCCTGCTGTGTGCTAGATGGCCCAGAAAAGATTGAATCTACAATTAATATGAAGACTCTCTGGAAAAACATCTCAGTGGAAGGGATTGATATCATCCTTTCCAGAGATGCGGGAAGGTAAACGTCGCCTATCAGGGGCTCACAAAAACAACTCAGTCTGCTCATTCATGAGCTCTCCTCCAACCAAAATCACTCCAAAGCAGAGTATTCAGAGGGGCACAAGTACGAAACTGAGATGATTTTAAATTTTGTGTAAAGCAGCCTTCATGAAAAGCTACAGCCAGTAGATATTTTTCCATAGATTTGTAAATTCCAAAAGAAACAAGCTCCAACATAGCACACCCTGTGATGAGCAACTCAGTAAACCTCAGCTATTAAGAGAGCCTGAAAACAATACAGACTTGTAGCAGATTTTAATCTATTTTTCTCAACTGGGAGGGATACAAAATGTAAACAGATAGATTGGAGAACAGCAATTACAGGTACTGTTAGAACCAGGCCTGTGATCTCATTATGTATTCCAGTAGCACGGAAGCAATTTTCTACTATGCTAGTCTTCACTGGAAAGGAAAACAAACCAGTAATTTTTATTTTATTTTAAATAAAAATCAGCTAACATTGACCCTTAAATTCAAGATTTGCACCTGAATTTTAAAAGGTGGAATGATCAGAAAAATCCCTTCAGACAGGGAGATTTTATGACTTAGACAAAAACTGTGTTACATGGTTGTAATTTCCAGCAGGGTGTGTTACCTTTCCCACCCCACAAGAATGCCTGTCTTGTGATATTTTTTTTATTTAAAGTTCTTTGTGGGTGGGTGTCTGAGAAACCAAACCATCAGATAAGCAACATTTGTTTCTCAAACTTGGTTTATTTCAGCATTTCCTTTACTCACTAAGCAAATATGTTCTTAATAATTTCATAAACCAGATCTGGTTTGGCTGCTTAGAATATTTAAATTAAACAAGGTTTACTGAGCCTTAATTCAGGTTTCTGGTTTTGTTTTGTTCTTAATATTGCAGGTACATCTGTGATTATACCTACTACACTTCTCTGTATTATGGCAATGGAAGAGCTGCTTTCATCCATGTCCCTCCATTATCTGAGTCAGTAACAGCAGAATTTCTAGGAAAAGCATTACAGACCATTATCTTAGCAATGTTAGAACAGTGTGGGGAACAAAGAGAGATGGATCACAGAGGGGAAAAAAGATGATTTCTTAGAATGTAACTCCTTACCTCTGAAATGAAGCAGATTTAAAGATTATTTAAAACCCACACACAAAGGATTTTATAGCCCACATTATTTTCAGTGAAATTTCTTTGCAAACTCAACCATTTGCATCTCTTAGAAAAAGCTTGAGGGGAAAAAAGCAAAATGATTGGTGGTTCATATTGCTAACAATAAAGTTGTTTAGATTTCAGAAATTGTGATACTGGATTGAAAACATTTTAGATGCTTAATCCTGGTTCTGTTGGTTAGAAAGACATCAATAAAGACTTGCTGACCCCAGATAGATGCTCACAGCCGTAAGGACTCAGCAGAGGATGGATGTAACAGAGATCCCCTTCAGCCCCTGTGTCCAAAGTTCAGCCCACAAAAAACCTGGGTATGGGAGAAACCAAAACACACTTGGAGATTCTGGTATGTGAAGTTTTACAGTTCTCACTTACTGACCTGCTGTAGCTGCTGCTTTCCACATCAGCAATGGGCTCTGAGCTAGAGTGACTTCAGAGAACACAAAAAACTGGAAACCAGCAGGATCTATAATGCCGTTGATAACTTGAGTTTCAACCCAAAACAGCCACTTTCCCCAAATTCTCAGTGCCTGTCCCAAGGGAAAACCCCTTAGTCCTTCCACAGAGCACAGCCCAAAGGCAAATCCAACAGCTAACCTGTCCCAAGAGAGGCAATCCTGAAGCACTGTGCTGTGGTGAGGATTAGGGCACGTGAGGTTACCTACAGATCAGGCACCAAAGGAGATCCCAAATTGTAAAACATGGGAGCAGACTCCTCCCCATCTCAAGCAGCTCCATACAGATGTGCTGGGTACCACAGAGGGTCACAGCACCGCCCTTCAGCACACAGGGAATGTCCACACTCTCCTCTGAAATCCTGCTGCCAGGACACAAGGACGAGATGGAATCAGTCAGGAACAGCACAGCAGCAGCTTAATCTGGACACCTGGGATTTCCTGAGAGAAACAAAAGCCTGTTCCTCAAGCACCATCAGTAAAAAGGACAAGAGACAAATGCAACAGCACAGGCAGCTGTTGGGGCTTCACGCTGCCACCGAGCCTTGTTTTAGTCAACACGCTGGTGCCAACAGTCTGAGGAACTGGAAATGCCAGGATAATGCTGGCTTTCTGGCCACTGTCCTTTCCAGTGTTACAGAAAGCTGAAAACCAAGTGCTTGCTGGCTGATTGCCTCACATGGGGATTGCTCTGCAGGTAAATAAATAACTAACAATGCTCACCTTATTCACAGGAACCGCCTCGTGCAAAACTGCTCAAATGTCAGCCATGAAGGATCCAAAAGCTCAGTGTCTCGGATGAAAATGCTTTTGATTTCAACCAAACAATGGCACTACTGACTCCTATTAAGAGTAGCTCTATTAGATACAGACAGAAAGGGCAGAGGAAGACCAGAGCAGCTTTGCCCTGAGTTTTCTAACCTGTACTCGGTTTGCACAAGGAGCAACAAAATCAGAAACAAACAAATGCATACAGAATTCTTTTATTTAACTTAAATCATGTAGTACTGAAACTACTAGAAAAAAGCAGAGTAAGAGAAACTAAAGGAGCCTTAGCTTCAGCCATTCAAAATAGACAAAGTTTCTTCTTTTCATAATGTAAAGAATCCCGAGTATATCGCAATAACAGGAATAAATTCTTACAACAGAATATACAAAAACATTTTGAAATTTTTTTAATCTACTGATTCATTTTAATATAAACACAGGAATTTCTTTAGGAATAATTTATACACAGCAAGTCTTTTTATGTAATAAATTGGCCATGTTATTGTTTAATTTTCTCTTAAAAAAATTTAAACAAGAAAAATTGGAAAATGTATTTGCAACTGCATTCATTCCTTAGCACTTTCTAGTTTTTTGTCCCAGAGGTAGACAAACTCTGGCCAATCCTTTCATCTCAAACCTCACTGGTTCAGAAAACAGAAGAGAAAGGCATCCCTGTCCACAGCAGAGAGGTTGGATCTTCAAGATTTTTAAATAACAATAAATAGGGACCCTCCCTTGCTCATTTCAACAAAGCTTCCAATGGTGCTCAACAGCTTTAGAGGCTGCACACAAGCATTTAAAGTGATAAGAAATTTGCAAAGAATTCTTCAATAGTAATTACCAAAACCACCTTCCCTCTTTCCCTTAGGCAGTGGCATCCTTCAGAGCACGAGGAGCAGCAAACCCCGCTCTGTTTCCCTGACCAGTGAGGCTCCTGACATCCATGAAGGGAACTGCCCTAGACAGCAAAGTGAAATGACCAGGTAAGAGGATCCCACCCAACCAGAGGGCTCTGGAAGACCAGGATACTGAAGATACAGAACATTTTCCCACCTCCTTTACTCACTCGCTGTATACTGGGTCACAAAGCTTGGGCGGGACGGGGGAGAGGGACAAGCCATGAATTGGACAAGTCAGCGATTCCTTTTTGGCATATTGTAAAGCTAACTAGTAACTGGTACCATGGAAAAACTGATCACAGACAGACACACCCACACACGGACACAGAAAAGTGCCCTTAAATTATATTTTAGGCATTTATAAACTACAAACATTTTATAAAATTATTCTATGTACTTACAAAATGCAATGAAACATTTAGTTAGTTCTTGTAAACCAGATCTTCGTCAACTGACTACCCGTAATCTACTGGACTTAAAGCCCTATTGAAAATGCTAATTAATGGTTACTAATCAACAGAACGCATACCCAAAAAAATATATATGAGCACACACGCAAATGCACACACACAAACTAGTGAAGTCCTAAGGTACTTGCAGAACAGGCCGACTGTAGGCGAGACCAATCCGTACAGGCTGATGCCAAGCACTGTCACACTCCTGGTAAGGAATTTACTGCTCCAGCTGCAAAGTCCAGAGGTTCATTTACAAGTACCAACAATCAGAATTGGGACACCTGAGCGCTGATGCTGTGCCACAGATTAAGCTCAGGATACTACCTCAAACTTCTGCCAAGCCCTGTGTCTCTGTAAATCCCCACTGCTGCGTCCTTTGTTGTCAGGTGTCTCCCCACAAACTCCTCCGTGCTGACTGACCCAGCTGCTCCACGCCAGAGGCTGTTCAGCACCTCTGAGCAACCAGTTCTGAACCGAGGTGTCCTTCGAAGCCCTCCTGTCTACTTGAGTTCTGTATCTTCAGCACCCCTGGCCACTCGTGTTGTTTCTACACATCACTCTTCAATCCTTGTCTGCACATCTACTCATGGGTTAAGTTGCAATATCTGGCTTTATCACTGGTTAGTAAGGAGTGGATCCCTTGCACCTTCCTCCACTGTTGTTCAGCCCAGTGATTGAATACACGGTTGACAAACAAAATAAGAATAACAGGAAACAAGTGTTACTTGTACTAATGGAATGAAAAGGGTTTAAATATATATATCTATATTATAGATATACATATGCAGATATATATATGTATATATAGATATATATGTATGGAGTTACACCAACAATAGGAGTGTTGTTCACTTAGACTCGGATTGAACCCAACACCCCTCAGCAGTTCTCAGAGGGCCTGACAGCAGCTCCCTCTGCTCACCAGTTGTCCTGGGCAAACTGGGCTTTCTTTCCTTTGTTTTAAGAGACCAAGAGGAGCATCAGTGCACTTGGAACCACACAGCACTTGGCACCAGCTGGGAGGAGCAGGGGCATCACACAGGGTGGCTCTCCACACCTTGCACCATGCTCAGCTGCCACCTCTGGTTTATCATCCCACCAAGGAGCACCTGATTTAGTGCCACGGCTGTGTCTGCACAGCAGTCGTGTTCCCTGCAACCAAACCACCTCCTCTGCCAGGGCACTGAGCAGTGCCACTCAGGAGAGCCCAGAGCAGAGCCCTGCAGTCCCAGCCGCCTGCTCCCCTCGGCGACGCCAGCTCGTTATCCCACCGCATCGGAACATCCTGGTGCCGTTCCTCAAAATGCTGGTTTTCAGGGCTGGGTGGGCTTTTGTGTTTAATTTATAAACAAACTGGATTACTTTAACTTTATTCAAACATAGCTGAAGATCTAAATAAATTTTCCATACCAGACAAGCCAGTGGTCTCAGGGAAGAACAACATTACAAACCATATTATGACTCTATCAAGCCAACATTAATTCTCAGTTGTTCACATGCACAAACAACTCAATTTACTGTCCAAGGGAAGTCTGCATGAAAAACCCATGTGAATAAAGCTATTCAAAATGCACAAAACACAACAAAAAAAGCTATGGAAACAAACAGAACAAAAAAGGAATTAAGCTTGAATTGCAAACACAGAATGCAATGGTATCATGAAGGTGGTTTGGTCCAGGAGAGCTGACTGCCATCACACACGGACACGAGGCCTCGTGGCTGTCTTCTACTGAAGTGCTTTTTGAAATGCTTCTTGTGATGCTACGTCATTAGTGTTTCTTCCTAATGCATTGTAAAACCACCTACGTACAATTCTACAAACCAGAAACTCGGACAGTTTTAACAAAACCCTCCTAGCCAGCTGAAAGATCTGAGGATCTCCAGTTGTGGTAATCAATATGTGCAAGGGAGGGGAACAGCCACTGCACCCAAAGGTCACTTGAACATCAAACATGGAAAACCAAACGAATATAGTGAAAACTTCCAATTTTGCTGGTTTCTCAGGACTAGGTAGAAAAGCTCCCTCCAAAGACAAACTGTAGTAGTTAACCACAGCACTGTGTATCCAAGAGGCCGGGTACAACTCCAAGTAGCCAAGCACCACATTACTCAGATACCACAACCAACACCTGCACGAACAGCTGCCAGAGCTGGAAAAAAAGGAAACATTATACAGCAAGCTGATGGCAAGCTTGTGTTAGTCCTGTGTGCTTGTAAACCAGTTACACGCTGTCAGAGGGCAGTTAAAATTTGATGGCTGGTCCATCAGAATCCACAGTTACAATGCATATAAACAGGGGAAGAAAAGGGGACTGACTTTTTACTGGCACATTAAAAGAAATCAATTCAATGTTAGTTTTGAAAAAAAAAATTTAAAAAAAATCAGTGCTCTCATCAAACAGAAGCAGCAAAGACCAAAGCTGTAAATTTGATGTAGCAGCCAGTGACAGGTTTTGGTCAAGAAAGCAATGCCCTCCCATATGAGCCAATTTATTTTTGGGTTCTGATTCAGCCAAATATCTTTTTGATGCTTGTCACATCTGAGCAAGAACTGGCAGGAATGACTTAGTCCATTCTACAGGACAAACAGAAAGAACATTCCCTTTAGTATTTCTTCTGGACCTTCAAACATTGTAAACATTTGAATTCTGTAACAGATTTCATTAAATACTCACAATTTGGAGTTCCCATATCAGGTCAGCTGCATTTCCACTCATCCAAACACGCAGCATTTTGCTGCTGACCCAAGGGCTGCTGTGACAGAACATTAAAAAGCCTC